TCGTTATTTCAGTACGTATTGCTGGTGCGGTAATTGGCTTTGAGAACTTCAGGTGAAGCACATGTGCTGAGAAAAAGGTGAATGGTAGGTAATCAACTCTGTCTGATATTGCTAAAACAAGTACATGCGGCTTTTGCTGCATTCTGCATGAAATCAGCATCGCTTATATTGCCTGATGCGCGCTATCCCTAATATTTGGCCCTCGCCGCCTCTGGAAAAAAGCCATCAATATGCTTTTGTCCCAACACTGGTGAAAAACCTGCGCCAGCTCCCGGCAGAAGGTTACTCCTTGCACAACCACCGAGGGCTAGGAGATGGGGCCCGGCTAATCCCGGTGGGCTTGCCGTACACAGCTTCAGAACTCTGTCGAAGCTCACGGCGGCTCTCGCACAGGCACATAATAATGGGTCAGAATGCGGCAAGTCAGGGGTGAATGCCAGCAGATTAATCAAGATTCGACGATCCGTTACGACAAACGTCAACACACCAAAGTGATAAACTGCAACAACTGTTGCAACAAGTGTAAAACGTGAAAAAAAAGTAGCTATAAGCGCAGAGGCCGAGCACTCAAGCTGGTTAACAACATTTACCGATAAGGCAAAACTTCATCCCCTTAATAAACAAATTTCACGATACCATTTATCTAAAATTTTGTTAAACCAATGCATTTGCCTCCCAATGCGTGTGCGCTCGCTCTTATAATGTCATTACGCCATGGTATTGCAAAAACTTCGTATGCGAAACCGCGGCAAATAAAATTTAACAACCGTCTGCTGAAATCTGCCCACGACGTCTGGTGGAAACAAAACCCTCTTCCATTGGTGGTAAAACCTCGTCGCCGGGCTCAAACATATTCAGCAAGCCGAGTGTCGGGCGTCAGTAGTCGAAATTCTGGAGCGCGGGGGCAGCGAGGCAGCACGCGACGCCAGAGGTTGCAGAATCCCGCAGCCGCATGTCACCTGGCTAGCTCTCGTGCTACAGGCTGAAACGACAAAAGGTAGAGCATATGGGAAATTCGAAACGTTGATCAAAACGGCTTCATTTCCTCTGGTATTCACCAACACTCTGGCGAAATGAGCCCGTTACCGTCTTTACGCCAAACCACGGGTATCTGAGCAAACGCTTAACCCCAGTACATGTTACAACAATTTGAAATGTCTGACTGTCCTTCCTCTCTCTTGGTCTGCATTGCTTTACCAGAAACGAGCATCAGGCCCAAAGCCGTAACAGTCGCGAATAACGACTTTTGAGCAACAGTCACTGGTGCTGCATGGCTCTGCGGCTCCACTAACTCAACACAGCCAGGTGACTCTTGTTATTAGGTGGTAATTTTTAAGGTAACAAAATAGCGGTAAGGTGTGGCTGTTAAGAAGGCTGGAAGGCCACGATAACAAAAATAAAAAGTAGTAGTATTGGTAGCAACAAAATGTTGAAACAACCGAGGTCAAACAAGTAGCATATTCTGGTAACCTTACAGGAGGCGTCGGCATCAGTGGTGAGAACTTGGCCAACATCGCGAGTCGACCGTCAGGGTACCACCCGCCCATAGTCCTTCCTCATCGTGAAGCCAGAACATTATGAACAGGCATTGGGTTTTTTTGGCAGGGTAAGTCCAAAACCAACTAAGGGCGACCAAAGACATCTTGGCACAATGGTGGCGCAAGACTTCCAAAATCCGGGGTAAGTGGCCGGAAGAGGGTGAATGGTGGTGAGTGAAATCCCAGCTCTCAATGCAAAGAGTGCTAACACAGAAACCCACATGCGGCGCTTTGCTGCATTCTGCCATGGTCAAGCATCGTTGAAACTACCTGTCGTATTACTATCCTCAATATCAGGCCTCTTCACCCTCTGGAAGGTATCGATGTCAATTTCGTTCTAAGTGGTAACACCACAACAACCTTGGCGCTTCTTGTACTTCCATCCAGAGCAGAGAACTAACAATCCAGGGAATTGCGCCACTGGTATCCGTCCGCCGCTCGGCAGCCTCACAGACCCTGTGGCAGAATAATACGGCAGAAGTGGGCCAGTGAAGTATATAAGTGGTAGTGCATTTACGACAGGTCGACGCTTGCTGCCAAAATGATAAATTTGCGGCAACTGTTTGCTGCAGGTACCAAAGGTTGAAAAAAAAGTGGCTATGCGGGGTGGGCGCCTCAGGCTGGTGCTACATTACCGTAAGGCAAATGGTTTCAGTCTTATCGCATTGCAAAATACCATTGCTCTGCATTTTGATCGGCCAGTGTTTGCCCTCCCAATGCGTGTGTGGCTCTTCTATGATAACGTCACACCACGGTATTGCAAAAGCTTCGCCGCCGAAAACGCGGCGAAAGTGAGGCCTCGCTTAAATATGTTGAAATCTGCCGGGAAATGTCGCCAGGCAAAACAAAGCCCTCCCTTTCATTGAATGGCAGAATGTGCTGCAGAACTTTAAACATCAATAAGCCCGTGTGGGCGTCTCCAGTACTCGTCTGGAGCGCAAGGCAGCGAGCTTTCAACCGACATCAGAATTTTTTATCCCTTGGCTGCATCTCACGTGTTAGCTCTCAGTGCTGCGCATAGAGACGAGCATATGGGGAAATTCAAAAGCTTGACCCAATCAGGCCCACTTCTCCTCCGTGTTCCCTGCGCTTCTCTCCAGGTGATAAAACCAGTGCAAAATGTTTCTCGCCCAGTTTCCTTGGTAAATCTCGGTAAGCAACCTTGGTATGTTACCCAGCCTGCAAATGAGGCGTCGACTGTGCTGCTCTCTCCTTCGTCGCTTTGCTCTGCCTCGAAACGAACTTCGCCTAACGCCGACAACTGCTGCAGATATTGACTGCCAGGCTACTGTCGCCAATGCCGCATAGATCTGCAGCTCGACAATTTTAACACAGATAGATAGCTACTTATGTGGATATCTAATATAAAAATGGTAAATGGTGGCGAGTGTGGCTGTTGAGCTGGGCCACGTTCCAAAAAAAAAAGATGTTTCTACGCCAGTTTCAGCAGACTGATCTCGAACAAAGCAGCAGCCAAGGGTATGTCACCTTACAAATGAGAAATGTCGGCTTGTCCTTCTCTCTCCCTTCAGTCGCTTTGCTCTGCCTCCAGGCTTGGCTTTACTGCCCTACTCCGTCCTTTGCTGCAGAATATCGACTATGAGCTACGATCACGAATACACATCGTCTGCGGCTCCTTCAAACTAACACAAATAGGTAATTGCTTATGTGTTAGATATTTGTGTTAAGGTAAATAAATGGTAGCGAAGTGTGGCTGTGCAAGAGCTGGAGCCACGTTTTAAAAAAGTAGTAGTAGTAGTAGTGACCTTGATTGTGACAGTCAGCATGCTCACATGGCAAACAAACAGATCGGGTACGATCTGAACAGGGTGAAACTATGGACAGAATGTAATTTGTATCATTTGCCTCCTGTCTACCCACCAACGTGGTTAAGGAGACCTAGATATTGTATCGACTTGCAGATCATATTCCAGAAATGTATGTTAGCCAGTACAGTTGACAGGTTGTCCAGTCTTCTCAGGCTATTCGCCAGCTTGCTGGAAATCATACCTTTCGTGTAACAAATGTATGGTTGTTGCATTGGCAGCGACAACTTCTCTCTCATCCATACCGTGGCCTAGGGCAGCCATCCTCATTGCAGAGCAGCATTATTACACTATGGTTGTGTGTTGTGCATTGTCATGTCTCCTGTTTCTTTACCAATACTCAAAATAACCAAACTTCACCATTCCTAATACCTTTGTCTTTCCTCATCACTCCTCGCTACCCACACCACGACCACCCACACACCACGACCACAACCCGCGCACCACCACTGTCTCACACCGCGTCCTCACACCACCACCGTCCTCCGCACCACCCGCGTTACTCGCACACACCGCCGTCACTCACCAGATCCTCCACACACACCACCACAGATCCTCCACCACCACCGTCCTCCACACACCACCACCATCACCTCCACACACCACCACCGCCCTCACACACCACCATCATCACACTGCCACCGCCCTCTTTACCACAAATCTCACACCACTGCCCTCACACCACCACCACCATCCTCCCACACACCACCACCGTCCTCCACACACCACCACCGTCCTCACACACCACCGTCCTCCAACACCACCACCGTCCTCCACACACCGTCCTCCACACACCACCACCGTCCTCCCACACACCTCACACACCACCACCATCCTCACACACCACCACCGTCCTCCCACACATCACCCACCACCCTCACACATCACCACCGTCCTCCACACCACGTCCTCCACACCACACTGCCTCACACACACCACCACCATCCCACACCACCGTCCTCCTTATCCCACCACCTCACACATCACCCATCCTCACACATCACCCACCACCTCACATCACCACCGTCCTCCCATCGTCCTCCCACATCACCGTCCTTACATCTACAAATCCTCACACATCCACATCACACATCACCGTCCTCACCATCACCACCACCCTCACACATCACCACCACCTCACACATCACCACCGTCACTCCACACCACCGTCCTCCCACACCACCGTCACCACACCACCATCACTCACACACGTCCTCCCCCACCGTCCTCCCACACCGTCCTCACCACCATCTCCACACACCACCACCGTCACTCACACACCACCACACTCCTCCCACCC